CCATAGCTTGCCTCCCGGGAAATTAGGCGAAAGAGGAGAAAGAAGAAGTTGTCTAACAAGGAGAACAATACCCCCCTCCCCCGCCGCATAGGCCCAGCCATATGGTAGCACCCGCCTCAGGTAAACGGGCCCTTCCATTCTCACCAAGGGGGGCGCGTCCGAAGCAGGCGGGATTTCGACGCCCTCACGCCCAGCCCGCCTCTCTCTCTCTCTCGTTCGCTCGCTCACCTTGTTTGTTTTCGTTAAGCTGCCGCTCGAACTCGTCGAAGTCGGACATGGCGACGGAATAATAAGACTCAAGCCCGGCCTGGCTCTTCTGCCCGCTTGCTTCACCGCCGCCTCACGCAGTAGGCCGCAACGGCGCCTTCCCTTGAGTTCGGCAACTTCCGGCGGGGGCTTCGGTTGGTTACGGAAAGGCTCGGCTGCGTGCGAAGGCGCGTCTCTACTTCGGTCACTCCCTTTTCGGCTTTTTCCGTAAAGGTTCGTGTACTGACGGAAACGTTCGGCTATATTCGAGAGAGCCTCCTCTCACGATTCTCGTCCTCGCGGTCGCTCCGCCTCGTTTCACTCCCGCCTGTAAAGCATCTTCGGGTTTTTCCGGAGAGGTTCGGGTTTTTCCTCCCAACGTCACTTCCTCTGCCCGTGTTCGAGTGTCGCATGCTCTTGGCTCCTCCCTGCATTGTGTTATGTTGACAATAGGGAAAGCGAATGATTGGTTCCGGGACTGTTGGGTTTTTCCTCCAGACGCCCTTTAGTTGAATGTATTGTCGAAGGTTTTCATGGCCGGAATCACTGGGTTGCTGAGTTTTCCGGGCTGTATGACCATGTTCCAGAAGCATTCCCTCCTGACGTTTCGCCTACATCAATGGCAGGCATCCTGAGAAATACTCCTGTTTTTTTATTTTAAAGTTTTTTAATGCTGGTAGCCAGATTTTGTTCATTTCTGAAAGGAGAAAACCATGAAAATGAACAAAATCTGGCTACCAGTATTTTTAAAACTCTAAAATCAAAATAAAGAGCAACACTCAAAAACAGGGGAATTCCAGACAAGAAACAATCAGGGCCAGCTCACTACCTCTGAGGATGCTTGCCATAGATGCAGGCGAAACGTCAGGAGAAATGCCTCAAACATGGCCCTATAGCCCGAAAAAACCCACAAGAACCTAGTGATTCCAGCCATGAAAGCCTTCGACAATCAGGGCCAGCTTATTATCTCCCAACTAAGAATTCCCCCAGGCAGGAAGCAGCCAGACCTTGAAACTCCAATGCCATTAAATGCTAATCAAGGCGGCCAATTGCAACATCCAGATATATAAACTCCATTTCTCTAGTTTCCAAGAGACCTCACAACCTCTGAGGATGCCTGCCACAGATGTGGGTGAAACGTCAGGAGAGAATGCTTCTGGAACATGGTCATACAGCCCGGAAAACTCACAGCAAGGATGCCTGCCATAGATGTAGGTGAAACATCAGGAGAGAATGCTTCTGGAACATGGTCATACAGTCCAGAAAACTCACAGCAACCCAGCCCTTTAGTTGCTTTGGGTCACTTTATTTGGGAGAAATTTGGACACAAAAGGGAGCCAGTCCACCACGTGGAGGAAGTAATGGAAAATATAATATAAAAATATAAAATTTATTTTTATATTCTCCCAAAAGCATTTAGGCTTTTATTTCATTAGCTTAATTCATATATGGTTCCATTGCTTTCCCCCCAAATGAATTAAGCATTTCCAGTTTCTGGATCTTAGAAGGGCAACTACCTGTCGTTTATGCTACTAAATGGAGAAAATATAAATTCTCCAAATATAAATAAAATAGACATTCCTCCACTACCTCAATCCAACTGATTATTTTAAAAACACCTAACTTCTGCATAATTAAAATATGGAGAACTACAAAGATAGGAGACACCCGAAGGAATCTTGTGCCTTCTGATGGAATAAATTAAGGGTGCATTTACATTGTAGAATGAATGCAGATTGACACCACTTTAATCTCCTCAGCTCCAACCTATGGGATCTTAGAATTTGTAGTTTGCTGTAACCCCAGAGCTCTCTGACAGAAAGGAAAAATACCTTGCAAAACTACACACCCCAGAATTCCATAGCATTGTGGCAATTCATGTGGTATGTTAGAATTCAACCCCACACTGCCTAAGTCTCCAGTCCTCAATGAGGAAAAATTAGCTTAGAATAGGCTGAGGGTTTCCTCCCCCCCCCCTCCTGTATGACAGTTGGAATGCAACTATTTGTGCTCTCCTCTGTTTCTGCTCTGATTCTTATTGGTTGTGTATAATTTATACTTTCCCTTACCTTCTGACTTCTACTTTTACATCTTCGAATATGCTGTGTGTATTGAGATCTTTGTATGTCAAGAGAGATGTAGTGGTTGATGATTTTCCCCTCTCTTTGAAACCTTAGAAGAGATGGGTGTTAGAGTAGCCCAGACCCAGTTCTTTACTTTTAAGAAATATAGTTACACTTTTTGTGATTTTTTTAAAAGACAAGATTCTCCATCTTTGCATCCTAAGTTCTAAATTTCTTGCAGCCCCATCACATGGCACTTCATGCTTTGTATTGTCGAAGGCTTTCATGGCCAGAATCACCGGGTTTTTGTAGGTTTTTTCAGGCTATATGGCCATGTTCTAGAAGCATTTTCTCCTGACGTTTCGCCTGCATCTATGGCAAGCATCCTCATGCCTCTGAGGATGCCTCTGAGGATGCTTGCCATAGATGCAGGTGAAACGTCAGGAGAAAATGCCTCTAGAAGATGGCCATGTAGCCCAAAAAAAACCTACAACACCCCAACTTCATGCTTTGCTTGCTGTGAGCTGATTGCTCAACTTTTAGTATCCTGTTTGTGTTTTGGATGCTCTGCTATATTTTGGGTAGTTTTCCCTAACAGTATCAAACTGTTGCAATTCTGCAGTGCGGATGCAGCCTTGATCCACAAAAGCTTATGCTACCAACATCCCAAGTTAGCCCCCATATACACTGCAATAGAATCCAGTTTCAGAATGCAATTTAACTGCATTGAATGGCTTTTTTTTAGTCCACACTACCATATAATGCACTTCAGTGCCATTGAACTGCATTCTGAAACTGCATTATATATTGTAGTAGTGTATATGTGACCTTAATCTCAAAGGTGCCATAAGGATCCCTTGGCATGCATATCCTGATTAACTAGGCTATGAATCTCCAAGGATGCCTGATGTATCTTTCATTGTAGGGTGGAGGAAATGTGTAGACCTCCCAAGTGTTGATTTCAGACTATTCATCCCTCATTGTTGACAGTGTTGGCTGAGGCTGTTAGGAGTTGTAACCCAACGGAGGCTTTGCATTCTTATACGGTATGGATTGCCAGTCACTTCCAAATATGAGCCATTCAGTGAAGTTACAGAAATGCACCTAGTGAAGTTACAGAAATGTTTTGTACAGCTAGGTTCCTTTCAGAATATTGTATGTTACCTTCATAATTCAACTGTGATGCCAGGTTATTAATGTTTTCATTTCACAGTTTGATAACTAAATCCGAACTTATCCAAGGATCTCTAGAAAATACATACTTGGCTGTGAATTCCAATCCAATCTCCTTGTTCATTCCCAAAGAGGCAGTGAAATACCAATTTATAGATAAATAGATACATCACAGACATTGTTCAGTTTTATTCAAAACACAATTTAATTTAAATCTTAGTAAATAGAATTTGAAACTTTTTTATTTTTTAAATATTTTTAAACACAAGAGGAAAGGGGGCAGGGTTAAAAATTACAGGCACAGTGGAAACAACCCATTAATTACACTGAATAACAAGAGTGCATTCCCAAAAACCAGGGGCAAACTGTTGACATCCTTGTATTCACTCTTTGTCATACATATCCGCGGTGGTATCCTGAAGCCATAAATGTGCAGATCAGTCTTCTCAAATTATATCCTCCAGATACTTTAGACTACAGTCCTCATCATGGTCAACTATTCAACTTGCTAGTGATGGAATCGATAGTCCAAAACACCTGAACAGCTTCAGTTGATAAAGCCTGCACCAAGTCTGCATATGCATAGTGCTCACACAAAAGGAACAAAAAAGAATGAAAATGACCAAAAATTGGCAGCAAAACAAAAAATCCTGTTTGAGTGCCAGTAATAGGTACACAGAAATGGAAGAAAAAGCCTGGCACAACCATGAGGTAAAAGATATGGGACATGGGCGGGACATGGGAATGTTTTGGGCAGTTGCAGGGAAGTATCTGGAGACCTCAGAACAGTGCAGTTAATCCCTCCAGTTTTAGGAAGATTAGAGTGAAAAGCAGAAGGGAGAGAACTCTTATAAAGTATCAAAGCAGGGTGAGCAATGGTACGCAGCCACATGCCTTCTCAGGTCTAGTCTAATTACTCAGCCGGCTGGAGAGGACAATGGAATAATGGCATGGTACATAAGTGTCTGAATCCTCCATCAAGAAACACTTTGTAAGGAGACCTTTGTTGTCTGTAGGTTGAGGCCAATCTAAGCAGCAGGGCTAGAAACATGGCCACTGCCTCCTCACTTGATGCTCTGGCCCTTTGGAAATAAGCTATGACATGGGAAAAATGAGGCAAGGAAATGCATTTCCCAACTTGTAACTATTTACCAGGAGCCCAAGTGGTGCAGTGGGTTAAACCGTTGAGCTGATGAACTTGCTGACTGAAAGGTCGCCAGTTCAAATTCAAGGAGCAGGATGAGCTCCCACTGTTAACCCAGCTTCTGCCAACCTAGCAGTTCGAAAACATGCAAATGTGAGTAGATCAATAGGTACTGCTCTGACAGGAAGGTAACAATGCTCCATGCAGTCATGCTGGCCACATGACCTTGGAGGTGTCTACGGCTCTTCGGCTTACAAATGGAGATGAGCACCAACCCTCTGAGTTGGACACGACTGTACTTAATGACCCTTACCTTTACCTATTTACTCATCTTTTCAAACAACGGATGTACCACAAAAGACTTGTGCGCACACGAGAACATTATCCCATGCACGTTTGTGAGCTAGAAATTGATTTGAGGCAGGACTCACCTTTCCAGAGCTTCACAAAGTATTTTGAACATAACTCCTGAAATCTCTCAGTCAACACATACTTGCTGGGAGATTGTGGGAATGTTTGTCCAAAAGAACTTTCCCAAACTGTGCATCTCCTACTAACAATTTGGCAATCTGAACAGTTTAAATTTACCCATTTAGCAACTCCCAAGCATCCTACCTGTGGATACAGCATATTTTGTCCCACTGACTTACTTCACCTGTCCTCTGGCTAGCCATTTTTGTCAGTTTTCAGGTGCAAGTAAAGAATAAAATGTGTTCCTGACAGTCCAGTGGGAGATTCTAGTCAGATTAAGCGAGACACCTTAAGGAGCCAACACTGATCATCCCCTCGCCTCATGAGCAAGTTAGCCAAGCCTGCAAAGCTGTCTTTATGCAGCCTTGGAAGCTGTGGGAAATAACTGGCAAGGACCAAAGAGACAGACGGGAGAGGGCACAAGAGGTGCTTGGAAAAGATTGGGCAGGGATGGAGATGGAACAGCTTACAAAGTGGGCCTCATCAGCCAAAGACAGGAAGTCATCGTTTGCAGCCATCAGCAATGGGCAGAAGTGGCTTGGGTGGAGTAGCGGGTGATGGAAGAGGGTTGCCAGCAGCAGGGCCGGGGGAGTCTGTTTTCCGCTTGAAGCGGTAGGTGATGGGCAGGAGGAGCTTGCTCTTCTTGAGGGCCTGTACCTTCTTGAGTGTCTCATCGTCCAGTGCCAGGAAGCATCGGCGGGAATACTCCAGCAGCCGCTCTTTGGAGGAGTCAAATTCTCCCACCTCGGCCAACTTTTCAGGAGCCACAATGAGGAGCTCAGCAATGGGGGTGGTCAAGGCCACAGTGTTCCGGTCCACTCGGTGGTGCTCAAAGGCCCGGCTCATGCTTTGCAGCTTTTGGAAAGTGTACAGGATTTTCTTGTAGCGGCATAACACCCCATCCACATCTTTGACTGCACAAGTTCAGGTTCAGGTGAAAGGTAAGAGGCAAAATAGAGAAAAGGAGAAAAGTGATGTCTCATGGACACAAAGGAATTTAAAAGCCAAGATGAGTTGGAAAAAACAGGAAAAGCAAGTGACCACATGAGGTCAAATGTTGGGAAGCAGATAATTATATATAATCAGCAGCATGAAAGTGTTGAGAATGTAAAATACTTTTATATTTAATATTTCTACAAAATAATCATTTTTAACATAGTAATTTTCAAACTCTCATAGCCACATTTCGTTCCTTTGATGTAGATACCACTGAGCCAAAAATCTGTATCTCCTAAGGAGAACAAATTCTCAAGTGTGTAACTTTGTAAGTACTTAAATGTGTTGTAACTTATGGTATTTAATAGATATGTTCAACAAATATTGTTGTAATAACAAGTGTGAGGACTTAACTAATTTCTTTGAGTACATTTCAGTATGTAACTGGAGCAAAATATTGATTTATACATTAATTTCAGTCCACCAGAAGAAGGCCTGAAGTAGGCCGAAACCGGTTGTGGACAGCTGATCTATAAGCCACTCAACATAAGAAGATACGACTGTACCAAAATTTACACAATATACATCACTGTGAAATTGAACAGTACAACATGTTTATATAACTGTTTGTTGAATTTTGTTATTGTTTACTTTATATAAGTGGTATTTTTGTTATATGCACAACAACAAAATCATCATCATCATCCAGTAAAATTGAAAAGATTGGTAAGTGTGAAAAGGGCACAGGGAAATAAATGGTGAAATTCGTAGCAAGAAGTAGAGGAGAAATTTTAAGAGACACATAATGAAGAAAAAGGGCAGACAGACAGAATTATGAAATAAAGAACAGAAACAGGGCGATAGAGAGAAAGGAAGTGGGGATGGGTCAAGAAAGAATAAGGATTTTAAAAAGTAAATGTTATTGTAACAATTTAGCAAGATTCTTGGAAACTACTTTTGAGCTTGGAAAAGATGCTTGATGCCTAAATCCTCCAGAGATTCCTAGGAACTGAAATCCCCAAGAGTAATTTTTCAAGACTTTGACAATATTTAATATTGTCAAAGGGGAGAACAACTGGGAGATGAAAAGCAGGGTTGCGGGACAATTTTTCACTCTACTCACCTCTTTGCCTCTCACGCACTTTGTGTTTCACAAAGCGTCTTCTGTTAGTCCCTCCTTTCTGCTTCTTGTGTTCTGTGGAGCCCCCTTCTTCAGGGCTGGCACTTAGCCAGGAGCCCATACTGTCATCGTCCGTCACATCCCCGTTCCGACTCTCAGACATCTCGGACCGCCGGAGGGCTTGCTTGCTGCGAAAGTGGTCATCTAAGAAGGGAGGTATGCGAAGGAGCATCATATGGAGAAGGACACAGCACCCTGCTTGGCACTGTCTTCTGCACTAGCATGCACAATATCCTTGACTGAAATCTTGAGAGAGGCCTAGCCCTTTACTCAAATGGGTAGGCAACCTGCGGCCTCCCCAAATGTAGATGGATTCCAACTTCCATCAATGAGTGATTATGGATGTCAAATGTCATTCTCTGGGGGCTACAGCAGTCACTTGTAGCACTTAGGCACACCAATCTTCCAAACTATGACCTTTACTCTTGTTAGATCAGTGTTTGTCAACCTGGAGGGTCATGAGGGAGTGTCAGAGGGGTCACAAAATACCATTAGAAAACACAGTATTTTCTGTTGGTCATGGGGGTTCTGTGTGCAAAGTTTGGCTCAATTCTGTCGTTGGTGGAGTTCAGAATGCTCTTTGATTGTAGGTGAACTATAAATCCCTGCAACTATAACTCCCAAATGGCAAGGTCTATTTTCCCCAAACTCTACCAGTGTTCACATTTGGGCATATTGAGTCTTTGTGCCAAGTTTTGTCCAGATCCACTATTGTTTGAGTCCACAGTGCCCTCTGGATGTAGGTGAACTACAACTCCAAAACTCAAGGTCAATGCCCACCAAACCCTTCCAGTATTTTCTCTTGATCATGGGAGTTCTGTGTGCCAAGTTTGGTTCAATTCCATCGTTGGAGGTGTTCAGAATGCTCATTGATTGTAGGTGAACTATCAATCCCAGCAACTAATGACAAAATCAACCCCCCCACCCCACCCCACCAGTATTCAAATTTGGGTGTATTGGATATTTGTGCCAAATTTGGTCCAGTGAATGAAAATACATCCTGCTGCGTATCAGATATTTACATTATGATTCATAGCAGTAGCAAAATTACAGTTATGAAGTAGCAACGAAAATAATGTTATGGTTGGGGGTCACCACAACATGAGGGGTTGCAGCATTAGGAAGGTTGAGAACCACTGTGTTAGATGGGGATATGTATCATGGTTGCCATTCCTTCCAAAAGTTTGGAAAAGGTCTTTATCTAATGCAGCCCACAACACCATCCAGCTGCCAAAGCACTTTTGTTGTACCTGCATCGAGCCGAGCTGAGGAGATGAACTTGTCTAGCTGGCAACGCAGGAAGTCTCGCTCTTCCTCAAGGTCTTTGATTCGCTTTTGCAACCAGGAGTTCCTCTCAAGGGCCATATGCAGCTGGGTCCTCATACTGGTCACAACGGTAAATGAGGGAGCTGGCATCTCTGCAGCCTCTGTAGTATTCAATAGAAGGAGAGACACAAGTTGTATCATAATGACATTTGGTTCCTCAGTATTGCTTACTTTTCCTGTTTTTCTCAAAACACCATCAAATCCTGCTCACTGCTCTCGTCCCCAAACAGTTGACAGATTATGATTTTTTCAATGTTTATTGTTTTCAAATGCCGGCTGAAATCTTTTGGAATGGCAATAATAATAATAATAATA